AATTGTTTTTACTTTGTGGTAAATCTGCTCATATTTCCTCATTTTTATTGTTACGTATTTCATGTCAAACTTGAACCAGTTTCAGGAAACTTCAAGTCTTAAATGCCTTAAATGACTTAGCCATTTACTTTAATAGTTTATTTAAGCAACATTAATATTTGGTCTTCATTGCTACATCATTTCAATGATTTTTTGATTCTGAATTTAAATTCAAACTGATACATTTCAGTTTTTATCTTTTTTATTTATACTAATAAAAACTTAAATATCTAGTAAATTTACACTCTTTAATGGAGTTAATCCGAGGATAAGCTATTGCTCAGTATAATCTCATTTCATTACTCTAATAACACAATAATAAGCAACAAGATTTGCAGATACATTCCATATAATAAGTGTGGAAAAACAATGATTTTTTTGTGTTTTTAATTTGATAGCTTAAGATAGATATTAAATTGAGCTGTCTCTTTTTTTTAAGGAGTATACATATACGAGTATTAAATACTAATGTGTTATTAATTAATTATCATAATTAATTTTACAAATTACATGATTAAAATAATTGTCGACCAAAATAGAAGAAAAATATTTGTTTTATTTTTAATATATAAATATTTTTCTCACATGGGAAGAAAAGAAGTTAATATAGAGAATTGTGGAGTTAAGTATACGATGTGTATTTTTCGTGGAATCCATATTTTTAATTTATTTTTCATCCTATTTTTTAGGCTTCTTCAAGGAATTGATTCGCAAAAGATTGAACTTTTTAAATATAAGCACAAAGAAATAAATACGAATAAACCCAAAGAGAATGCCTACATAAGTTTGCAAGAAAAATTCGTATGCAAATAACTTGCACCAGACAGTACGGGTTTATAAGATACAAATATTCCTTTAAGATTTCTTTACATCAAATGTGTTTTTTTTTTCTGACTGCTTTTCTATTTAAGACAAAGCGGTCAGTAGCGTAATTGGCCGGTTCCAAGGTTGGAAACCCATGAGGAGAAGTTTCAAAACCTCTTTTTTTAAAGACTAGGACGTTTTCAACAAATTTGGTTATATTTGTAAAGACTTTTTTGTAAAGCGGTTGGAACCTTTCATTATGCATCCAAGCAGGCATTATGTGTTGTTTATATGTTTTTGATTGACAATAGATGTTATTAGACTATCAACTAAAAAATTTATCTGAATCTATTTCATATTTATTTACAATAAATATTTAATATGAAGTCCTTAGTTATTTAATTAGTTTTACTTATGCAACAGTACCCAGGTGTATTAATTTTAATTAGTCGATTAAAAGTTATTAAACTGACAGTTTCTTTTAATGCCATTATTCGACAACTTACAAAAATATTGTAAACGATTTTGAATAACATTTTTAAAATATTTGCATTATAAATATTTGCTATAAACCCTTAACAATTTTTTTGAAACGGTAAATCTTAACAATTAAAAATATTTACCATAAGATTAACTCTTCAAAGCTAATGGTGAAGAGCGATTTAAATGCATGCTATGAGTAATTCGTAAAATGTATAGTCAAATAAAGGGTTGGACTTCAAGTGAGGTATTCGTTAAGCACTTTCAGAAAAGTGGGCTTATTTGCATGTTAATTTTAAACAGACACGTTTTCCATTGGAGCATTCATGTCAAAAGAATACATCTACGGTTAATTCTTCATTGCGCGTTCGGATACCATTCGGATACCTAGGTACCATTAACTTTACTTGCAAGCCGAATTGTATTAATCTGAATTTTTTAATATAATAAACAGTTGGGTAACATTTCATTGTCTCTTTGTATTCTTTTATTGCAGAATATAGTCTTTTAATGCTACACTTTGTAACTGATAGAGTGGTCCTTCGATTCGTTATAGAGTAAACCTTAAACCTTTAAGCTAATCCCTTTTAGAGGCGTGACTTAAAATAGTATGTGAATAGCCAAGTGCAGTGAGTGTGAAACAACGTCGTTGATATTGATTGCATTAATAAATTTTAGTGTTATAAAAAAAACAAAACTCAAGTCAACAGTTTTTGGATTTTTTTAAAATTTTTTTTTACCAATGATTATTTTCATCAAATAATTAATTGTAATAATTCAAACTTTTTTAAAGACATATCAATATAATAACAATTCATATTGTCTTTATGATTTTACAAACAGCTTTGGATCTCTATCATGGGTTTATTAAAGCTTTTAGCTTCAAATTTATTTTATTATTATATATCAATGGAATTATAATTTTTTACGAAGTTTATGAATAACTTAAAAAAGAAACTAATATCAATGGATTTTTTAAAATGGTTTTTATTAACCACCAGCTCTTACTACGATTTTAAAACGCTTAATCATGCAAATCATTTCGTTTTAGATACAAACACTTCATAAATTCCCATTGCCTCATTCTCATTCCAAAAAAAGTTATAAATTTCTTATTAACATCAGCAAATATATTATTTTTTGTACTAAAAATATGAATTTTTTTCTACTTTGCCACTTCAATTGCTCAACTTTTCCCATATGAATAACTTATAGTAGCACTTTTAACAATTTCAGTTCTATTAACCGGAAATAATCGAACTTTAGCAGTTTCCTACTAGTTTCCAACATATTATGCCCTAAAGCAATGATACTTACCAGTGATGTGGATACAAATAGACGCATTTATGTCTCTATACGCATAATAGGTATACCATATATTGGTATCAATATATATATGTATGTATTCAAAGGCGGGTAGCATGAGTGGAGACAAATTGTCTAAATATTTACAAAATTTTGGGGAAATATGTTTATTTTATATATGTTTATATATTTATGTTGATGTGAATATCAGTCAAAGGGACATGTCTATTCATATACGAAACAATAGAAAGTTGTCTATGGCAAAAACAGCAGACATTTCATTTTCTACGAAAATTGCAACTTTTTCTTTTTGTCTAAAAAAAATTAGCTTTTATAATTTTTTTTACTAAAAATAAAAATTTATTTTATAAAATTTCTTTAAAAAACCTCAATCAAGTCATGATGTTAGAAAATTTGTTTGTGCAATGAAAATTAAAAGTAAAAGTAACTCGTCAGATATTTCACTTCATAGCAGTTTACACAAATATATATAGTGCAGGCACGTAGCCGGAGGAGAGATTAAGAGGTTGAATCCACTAACCCCCCTAAATAAATTGTAAAACTATATAACAATAATATGTATGCTTATGTATATTTATTATAAATGACTGTTTAATAATATAATTTTTTTTTTGAATAATTAACATAATCGCAAATGTTCAAAATAATTGCTCAAAATATGAATGTAAAAAGTATCTCTTTTGCTTACTCTCTCATTTGTACAGTTACTCTCTCTCTCTTAAGCATCCTACATATATCGCTATATCTTTATTATTATCAGTGGCAGTTTTGAGTGAAGGAAATAAGCATTTAGTGAGGTAAAATTTTCTATTCCATTTAGATTTTTTAGTTTAATTTAATTCTAATTTATTTTTAAAAATAAATTTATAATTATCTAAATATAATGTATAAGAAATGTATATAAAATAAGTAAATTAAAAAGAAAATTACGTACAAATTTCTTTCTAAATATTTAATGAGAAACTAAATTTACAATTCACAACTTTCAATCGAATGCAAGACAAGACATGGATACATCCAGTCTTGGAGACATGTACGCAAAATATTCTTGAAGACCGTCATACATTTGGATCGATGGGTCTTCACGCATGCATTCATGACTTCAAAACGTTTTCGATAATGAATCGATTCGGTTTTTACTGGATTGAAAGTAAAATATATATAGATGCTTTCACACATTTCATACATATATGATAATTTTATCTTTAATTAAGATTTATAAAGTCGATTATACGCCTACCCTTATAATAATTTTATTAATTTTGAGTTCTTATATGTTTTCATTCATTGTTCGAGAAGTTAATATTAAATATGGGTAATAAAATCCAAAAAATTTTAAAAGTTTGATATATTTTTTAGTTGGCAATATTTCAAAATCTACTCTTAGTTTCACACAATCTGGCAGCTTCGTTTATTTTGACAATTATATGACGAATAAAAATAGATTAGGAACGCTTATGGATTTAATTAAAAAAAGATACTTATTAATCAATATGACTTATGTATGGAATGACTTGATGTGATTTAAAATATACAATTTAGGGCACATTTGAATCTATCCAGCTCTATATAAGGTAGTAATATGATGTGATGCCATTTCAAAAAATAATCATAAATATTTGAGCTATAAGCCAATAAGTTTTGATATAATTGGAAAAAATTATAATATTTAAACAATAATCATATATGTTTACGCTATAAGGTAAAGTCTTCGAAAACGATTTAAAAAATCCAAACCGTGTCAAAAAATGGTCGTAAATATTTCCTATTCGATGTTACCTCAGATCTGATATGATTGCAAAAATTCATGACATTTTGATAAATGGCTGAATACCTTTGTATTATGAGGTAAGAAATTAGGATATAAAATGAAAGAATATTGGGATGTCAGAAAATTAATGTGTACGTTGATGAAATATTTTTTATGTAGTATAAATCGAATGACAATAAACTAATTTAAAATCTTTTAACTTGTTAAAAGATTACATATATATATGAACATTTTCAGTAGGGAGCCTGTCGTCCTTAAGATTAAAAAACTTAATTCTCATTATATATGTTATGGATACGTATCCAATTCAATACATGTAAATTTAAAGTGATTAAAATTAATTTTTTTCTTAAATCATAACCTCAAAATCCATAATGTAATATGAATTTTGACTCCAAAAACATAATAGCAGTGGAATTTTGATTCTTAATGTGATTTGCGTACCAATTTTAGAACATTGACTCAAAGACTAATTTTCAAACAGAAGACGGAGTTTAATTATTTGTTTATAATTTATTTTTATTTTTTTAATTAAATACCTATAATTGATATTTAATTTTTTTTTTTAAATTGTTTAGCAGAATTTACATTTTTACTTAATCAGGAGGCATACTTTTTCAAAGGAATGTGTCCAGAGTTAAATGTGTCCAGAGTTAAATAGAGTTTTCTTTGTGAAAAGATGCTTGAATTATTCATTTTTGAGGTTTTATTTTTTGCGGTCAAAAACACAATCAATTACTGGCTCTTAGTCTAGAATTAAATTTGATATATATATATAGCAGATACAGCATACATATAACAGTTCCAAGAAGTATATGTAATACATACAAAAAAATGTGCATATTTTTCTGTTGTAAAGATTATGATATTAATTACGATTCTTGACTGCGGCTGTTGACGGCAACCAAGTCTTCCAAGATTTGGTTTACTTCATCAGATGCATTTATGTAATGATGGTTTGGTATTATGTTGAAATGTTGGCAAAGTTCTTGAATGGAAAGGTTAGGATGTGCTAACACAAAATCAATCATACTCTCAGGTGAAGGATCATCACTAGAAGCATTGTAATTATTTAAAAGTTCATATGAACTTTCCCTACCATGCCATTGCATCGTATGTATCTTAAGCTTTTCTGGACGATTGTAAGTTATTCCACATTCAGCGCATGTAAACAGACCATCCAAGTGTGAAACTAAGTGCTTATTAAGAGCACATTCACGCGTGAATGTTTTCAAGCATATATCACAAGCAAATGCTTGAGACGAGTTTTCGGCAATACTTTCCCTTGTCAAGTCTTCTTGACTAATGCTTTCTTTCTCCCGCTCATTTAAACTAGGAACCATCGCCGTGCCGTTCATTTGTTCAAATTCTTGTGCTACATTATTCACAGCGCTATTAAAGTCATTAGTAATCTCTGGTGCAACATTGCTTGAATTGCTGGGAAGGTTACTGTCCAAATGAGTTTTAGATCCATTGATATGCGGCATATCTAAATGCATTTGTTCGTGCACAATTAACTTATCCTGACGTGTGAATGATGCATTACAATGAGTACATTGATACGGATTGACTGTGTTATGTGACTTGACATGTACTGTTAGTTCAGCTAATGTTGCAAACGAACGTGGACAATTAGGACAGACATGTGGACGGCAACCTGTGTGTATACGAAGGTGTTTTGTTAGGTTAGTGTTTCTGGAAAAACTTTTCCCGCATAACCCACAAGTATAGGGTCGGACTCCAGTATGGATTACCGTATGTTTTCGTAGGTCTGACCGTCGACTAAATCCCTTTCGGCACAGGGTGCAAGTATAAGCCCTTGTCTTCATATGAATATTTTTGATGTGTTCGATGAGAGCAGCACGACTAGCTACTGCTAAGCTACAAAAATTGCATGCAAAGGGAGTGTTTTTATCATGACATAATTCGTGTTTTATGCACTCCATTTGCACACTAAAAGCCAGATCGCAAAACTGGCAAAGGAAATTGTTCTTTATTGCCACATTAGAGAGTTTCAATTGTGCTGCAATTGGTTGTGTCAAATTAGTTTCTAATTTTATTGGTGTGCCATCTGGTGGACATCCAAACTGAGGCTTAGTAGTATCCATATCAAAATTGGTATTAAATTTTGTTGAATTTATTATGTCATTTAATGCACTTGGCTTGAACTTTTGCTCGTTTGCATACTGTGATAGCGTTTCTTGATTAACAGAAGGCAAAAATCCGCTAAAGAAAGAACCAGCAATTGCATTAGGTTCTCGATACAAAGAATTCAAATACGAATAATTGTTGTCGTTTTCTGTATTCGAAAATGCTTTCATTTGTTGAAGATAAAAAGGAGAAAACTCAGTTGGATTTGACGGTGTATACGTATTCCTTGGTGTTATGGTAACAGAAGGTAACTTCTCCACAACTTCTTTGTAAGTGGGTATAGCGCTTGTTTTGTTGGAGTGTGCTGTTATAGTAGTTCCTGAAGGCAACTTTAAACCCATGCGAAAGGTTATATTATCAGATGTTTCCTTATTGTCAACGTCACAACATTCTATATAGTGTGAATTACCAGTCACCTTATCAGATGTTTCCTTATTGTCAACACTACAATATTCTTCATAGTCCGAAGTACCAGTTATATTATCAGATGTTTCCTTATTGTCAACACTACAATATTCTTCATAGTCCGAAATACCAGTTATGTTATCAGATGTTTCCCTATTGTCAACACTACAATATTCTTCATAGTCCGAATTACCAGTTATGCTAACAGATGTTTCCTCATTGTCAACACTACAATATTCTTCATAGTCCAAATTACCAGTTGTGTAATCAGATGTTTCCATATTGTCAACACTACAATATTCTTCATAGTCCGAATTACCAATTATGTTATCAGATGTTTCCTTATTGTCAGTACTACAATATTCTTCATAGTACGAATTACCAGTTATCTTGCCAGATGTTTCCTTATTGTCAACACTACAATATTCTTCATAGTGTGAATTATCAGTTATGTAAACAGATGTTTTCTTATTATCAACACTACAATAATCTTCATAGTACAAATTACTACTTTCTTTACCTCTAAATGGAACATTAATTGTTTTGGAATCTGCATTAATTTTTTTAATCTGGGTTTGAGAATGCAAATTCCAATTAAGGGAGTTTTGGTTGATTTCATTAAGAGCGACAATTTTAAGACCTGAAATATCTTCATTTTCATTATCTTCATCACAATTGAACGACTTTTGATCTTCTTCATCGAATACAAACATGTTAGAAAGTAGTACGTCATCATTTTGAATATTAGCACTGTCGTTGACAGGTGATTTCATTATGCTAATATTGGTATATTCTGGCTGATCCTCAACTATACAAGTTTGAAATGATTCAGATGTACCTATGAAGATTATTATTATGTACAGGAAAAAGATCTTTTCGTCTAAAAGCTTACAGAAAACAGTTTTATACTATAACTTACCTGGAAATTCTTCTAATTCTTCAAACAAAGGAGATCCATCAATACGCTGCTGCTCCGACTGGAACTCATCATTGAAATACTCAAACTCATTGCTTGAGTCAGACAACATAATTAATTCATTTGGATCCAACTCCAAAGAAATGTAGTCCTTATCAACCACGATATCAAAACTCTCTTCAGTATTAACAAATTCAAAATTGTTACTTGTATTTGACATTTTATTTAGTTAGACTTTTCTAGAAAGGTTAGATCCGCACTTAACAAAATTCCAAATTGAAATGACGTACTCTATTTTACATTCAAACTTGTCGTTTTTTTTTATGATTTTAAGGTAACTACGATTAAATTCAAATTTGACATATCATCTGTCAAGTGTAAAATCAATAAAAAAATGTGAACTTTTACAGCATAAATTGTACAAAATTTCATATTTTTATGAAATCGTTTTATAGCAAGTACAAAAAACTAAGCCTAAGAAACTGATAACATTGTTGGTAATAATAACCTCAATGTACTATTTCTCTGAACGTTTTGGTTTATTAAACCTTTATAAATTACTTGAAAATAGGGAAGATAAGGAAGAAAAGATATAGGGATACAAATATAATAGTGTAGGGTTTCCTATAAGGAATCTTCGCTCTTAATATATTTAGCTCGTTTCAGCCCATGTTACATTTACATTTATTAAATCCATATTTCATTAATATTAATTAAAAATATTTGATATTATTCTGTTTGTTGAATAAAATCTGTCAAGCTATGGGGAAGACTTAGAAAGTACTTTACATATACTTTGTTACTGTTGGGCTTATCCGCAACTAAAATTAATCATAATGGGAAGTTACTTCGATACCTAACTTTAAAGAGTACTTTAAGCTTTGCTAAAAAAAACCACTTTGTTTTTAAACCATAAAGCTGTATAAAATTACATAGTAAGTCAATCAAACTAAGTGGATCTCTAGGGTCACCCATACATCCAAAAACTTCTTTATTTGTTAATTCGACTTCGAATATTGGTGATCATATAACATAAAACTATATTGTATATTGATCTCTGCATCTAGCTATGTTTATGGGGCCTCGCATTTGGGTCTCTTGACATATGTTTCGCAGTTTGCTACCAATACCGCGTTTCCCTTCGATTTTTACCTGAATAAACATTTGGAATCGCTTATATTTTGCATTTCTTATAATATGCCCTAGTTAGGATGTTTTACTTTTTTTATAGTTGCTAATAATACGCGATCACAGCTCATTCTTTGTAAACTTCATTATATGTAACATAAAAACTTGGAAATAGATGGTATTTCCATAGTTAGGTTTGTTTACAAAATGGCAGTTAAGGTTATTGTTATAATAAATAATTTAAATTTGCGAATGAATTTTTCTACTATGAAGATACCTTTAGGGCATTAGCGTAAAAAAGGACTATGAACAAAATGTGCTTACGATATATATTATTATATTACGATGTATATAACAGAACCATTTTCTGTTTATACTAAATAAGATAAAAGCTCTCTATTGAAATCAACTACCAAGAAAGGTTCTTTCGGTTTTGTTTTGATGATTTGTATGTGAAAGATAATTCCATTGTGGTAGAATTAGCATGGAATGTTGTATAGGCTATGAAACAAATTGAAGAATCACAAATTCGCTAAGAAACCAAAAAACACACTATGATACTATTTTAAATTGTACATAAAGCTAAATAAGAGAAGAAGCTTGATATTGGTAACTGGTAATGATTCTTTAATAAAATGGAAATTAATTGTTTCAATGATATTTGTTTTTGAATTCAAATATGTACATTTATTCAATTTTGACAAATTAATTAAGAAAAAAATTTTTTTAATTTCTATTGTTGTAAATATTACAATACATACTATTTATCTCGCTCTCTTTTATTATATTTTGTACTTGCAAACATAAGTCTGTTGCATATTAATATTAGAGAGAAATTTTCAAATTTTGACATTTTAAGGTCAACAAAAAATTTAAATATTTGGGATTTTAATATTATATCAAAGCTCATATTTAAAATAGATTTAGCAGTGCATGAAACTAATCCTAGTAAAAAAGCACATGTGCTAATGTCACCAGTTCCATTCAGATACATCCATTGTCTTTTATGATGCACTGAAAGTTGTTTGGGGGAGTGGAATTGTCCTAAACATTATAATAAATAAATATAAAATAAAAACAAACGCATAAATAAAATTAAATTGTATTAAAATATTATTTTTAATTTTTAATGTGACGCGAAAGACGAAAAGAAAAGTAGAAGTATTCGAACAGTAATGAACCCTTGTAAAATTGCAGCCAAGAAAGGCGCTTTAGACACAGTAAGTTAAAATATATATAATAGATATCTCTACAAAAGCACAGCTTTCAAAATTGACTACTTGTGGGAAAACACAATTAGTCATCGTTTGACAAGCACGAGTTTGACACTTTCAGTCCAGCAAATTATATACAGAAATTAATTTAATAAAAATTCAAATATTTCCTAAGATCACTGTTGATGTGTACTTGGCAATACTTGAAACAACGTTTCAATAAATTTATCAAATTTTTGTTGTTGTTTCTTCATTATTGTTCGAACCCCTCTGATTATTTTTAATTTAATATGTTAGTGCTCTTATTAAAATTATATTCAAGGACTTTGTATTATATAAACTATATAAGGAATGATTTACAGAGAAATTAAGGAATCATTTAGGGACATATGATTACATTCATGTCACGGCAATTTTTGTGGGTATCTATGCAAAATGAACTGAGCTGTCAGTGTTAAATTTTCATTTTGTATTGAATGCAACAATAATTTCTGTGACGTAACTGTAATCATTACATGCTCCTTTGGGAGTTGAGTTTCATTCATTAAGGTCATCAATCTTACCTACTGTAGTGGTAATATTAAGGTAACTGCTTTTCAAATCTCTATATTTTTGTTACTAAGTGGATATAGACAGAATTCACTCTTCAGCATGCAAGACAACTTATAGTGAGGACAGAAATCGTTTGATACATACAATTTAAATCAATTATGGCGAGACAGTCTACCAATATGATCGACATATATAATTTCCATGGTTGCTATGGTAGATGTTTCATATTGCATCATTATGCACTTCTTCCATGTGATCTGAGATCGCTTTAGCTCACTGCATTGGATTCAACGATATAGTTTAGTCAAATATTATGATTTTTTCTATAATACGTTATTATCATTGACTTTCTGTTCTCCATTGATGAATCTTGTTTCTTCATTTCCTTATGCTTCGAAATATAATTAAGTGGTAAATGGATACATCTGGTGTTAATTTCGTAATTAAATTGATGAAATTCGCTTACGGCGTTTTCGCTTATGTGCACATGTGCATCGCCTATCCTGCGAAATAGAGCGCAAACTTGACCAAAAACCAGCAGCAATGAGATTGCATTAAGATAATTTGATTGTAGACATTTTAAAAAATCTGTGGTCTTGTATTAAAATTAAATGCCAGCTTAAAGGCCATAATGAACTTTGATGTCCTTAAACCCATTTTGCTGGTTTCATCACGATATGGAAGGAAATGAAAAAGCTGCACTGGAAAGATGTTTTATGATGTACCTATTGGTTGGTTGGTTTAATTAGTTACCTTATTAAATTTAATTGTTTATTTTAAGAATCTTAACTTATTTCAGGTTAATTAATGCCATAGCTCAGATAAATATTTTATATATAATTTGTGCAACAGTAATTTGTTATAAATTTATTATTATTATGAAATTATTTGTATTTATTAATACATTGCTCTTATATTTTTAAACTCTGAAAGTAATTGTTTTATACATTTTTGTATCAAGTAGTATTTCAATGACTTTTATATGTATAATATGAAAACTAATTTTTGCTTAATGTATTGTTAATGTTACTTAGAGCTAACACTGAGAGTGGTTGTAAAATTTAAGTTTTTCTGTCAGAGTCTAAATACATATTTCATTGTTTCTATTGATTACCGACTAGTGCGCTTCATTTTCGGTATATACTTGTGGACGTCCATTTGAGATGTCATCTACAACTACTACAACATTGGTACCATTAGTATTAGTGTTTTCTGGCAGATCCTAAAAATATTTAAAAAAATATGTTATTATTATCAACAACTTTCATATAGATAATATATAAGATTTTAACAACATAGGAACATAGAAATTGTATTTTAAGTGCGAAAATCTTCTGTACGACTTGATGATTTATAAAGCTAAAAAGCGCATTTACTTAGATATTAGGGGTGCAGAACTACATATAAATTTTTAGATTTTGATTGAATTTTGTTAATTTTTTTTTTAAATAATTTAAAAATACTTTTGTGAAGCTTACACTCGAAACTTGAAAAGGAAATTGCATCACGTACTTATTACTTGAAGAAAATCAAATCATTATTGCTAAGTTTCTGTAAATATTAATTTATACTGAAATATAAAGCGTTCATTGGTCATTTTAGAAAAAGAACTCCAAACATAAAACTATAAACATTTCCATTTACCATTCAAAATAATTTTTTTAAAACAAATCCTTTGAAATTGACAACAAATAAATTGAAATATACATTAAATCAGTTATTTTCTCTTCCTCAAACTAAAATATTCTTAAATAAAATTAAACAAACTTGATTTAAATATTTAATTTAAATGCAAACCGGAGAAGGAGAATGTGTTTCATCAATTCTCGTAGCTGTGTTCAATAAAAAATGCAAAAATAAGCCAGAGAAATTCTGCTCCCAGCGAAAATTGTGTACTTTGACTCTGATAAATCCTTCCATTAAATGCCAAAGACAATGAGCATTTCAATTGAACAAAATCTTTAAGAAAGTAAGGAATAAAGTTGAATAGGGAAATTAAAAGTCTCTGTTCTGAAGAAGAACGGAAGAATTTTTTAAAGCATTGAAAATATGCTGAAAACTTTGCCATCGTCGTATTCATGCTGAATTTATTTCCATTCTGTAATTCGACACAATGTGGTTATAGCCTGAAAGATTAAAAATCAATGCAAACTAAGTCACAAAAGAAATGTCAGGAATGCATTGTACAACAGATTGGAGTCTTAACTTACTTCCCATGAAATTATGTACAACACTCTTCTTTTCTTTTATTATCGTTGACAAGGGTTCGGATTGAGAATTTACGTGAGGGATATTGTTGGAGGCATCGAAAAATGTTAACATATTCTTCACATATATATTTGCATAATTAGATCTGTTGTCATCATACGTATATAATTCATTGTAAAGTGACAATAGCAATAAAAATGTATTAATGCGATGAAAATGGAGTTGAATTTAAATTGTTTTACATATAACTTAGCTTAAAATGTGTTTACACTGTTAAACAGAAAACAAAAAACTTGAAAATAGTATATGTTTAAACATGTGGAACATGTGCTATATAATATAAAATAATTCTTTCTTAAAACAAATCAATATATCCTATTCGCTAGCTGTTAGGTCTGTGTACCGAGTCTTCTCGTCTACCATAACTACAAATAATCTCTTATTGAAGATTTATGGATCATTAAAAACAGAAAGGAAATCTTTTTGAGAACGTGTATTAATAGAGCTCTTGTTGCAACCCTACTTGCAATTCACTTTTTTCCATTTTCGTAAAAATTCACGAGGTTGTCTGCTTTGAACGGTTATCAAACACCAACTGATCGACGTAGCTTGCTCAAAATTAGAAAGTTGCCTACTGGTAGATTACATCTGACTGCAGCACTGTTGCATTTGGAGTAACTGCGCGGGAAATTCAAAAAGTCACTGACTTATCAAACCGCCCTCGAATAAGAAATACATCTGATACGATGGACAGAACATTGTTTTACAAACAAGATGGATCTTGATCTCATTGCACAGAATTAAAATCGAAAGAATCAAAATTTTCCTTTATGAGATCCTTTATTATTATTTTTTTTTACTTTTACTTTTATGTATAAAATGATAGGAAAAAGTTTTTTGTGTACACTCAAAATGAATGTTATTTTATTATTAAATTTAATAATAAATATATAATTTATAAAATATTTCTTTAAAGAATATTTCTTAGTTATTACACTACAATTGATTATTATTAAGCAATTATTAAGCAATTTTTAAAATAAAAGAAAACGCTTTTAATTCATTTCAGTGTTCGCTAAGCTCTTCAAGTCCAAGTTTAAACACTTAAACTATTTTTAGCCAAAAATTGCTGTCTTTTGTAAGAGTAGCTGAAGTCAAAACGTATGTACATACTATAACTTACTTAACATTGCCATCAACGTTCTATGCGATTGTTCAAGAATCGACTCACTATTTGTGGAACATCTTCGTAAACCTTATACGGACATAATAAACATTAAATTCATAAATGCAAAATATGAAGGGTTAATTTTTCAAACAATTGTTATACTTACCTAATTGTTGAGTATTTCTTGATCGGATTTGCGCGCCCATTCTGCCGTAGAGTATTATAATGAGTATCATCGGTATAACAAAAAAGACACAAAATGAAATCTCGAAAAAAGGAAAGTCAAAAGGTCTAGTTGCACAAAAAGCTGAATCTGCTATAGTTGAGTTATCTGAAGAACATAGAAAAAAAAATAAAACCAAATACAAAATTTTTAATTAAAGATACTTTCTGTAAATGCGGGATATGCATATTTGTCAACTTACCAAAAGGATAGTTCATATATTATATATCAGTCAGTAGACCAAAAGGTATAGCACTAATAAAACTAACAGTCCATAAAATAGTAATAATACGCAGAGCACGTTTAAAACCCCCCATCGTGTAGAGATGCAATGGATGACAAATTGCGAGAAAACTTTCTGTAGAAAATGCCACAACAGTCAACACAGAAACATAAGTTGCATTAAGAGAGTTAAAAAGAAGTGAAGGTAATATTTTAAGCACATATTAAAAACATTTAAGATAGTTCACGGAATATAAATTAAAGCGATAATTATGGGTTTACTTACGCTTCGGCAATAAATGCACGTATCTTGCAAAATGGCAATCCGAATAAATAAGGATACTGATGCCAGTAGAGAAATACTTCCGCCGGTAAGCCTGTAAAAGAAGAAGCACAGAATAAGCAAAATGTGGTAGAAAACTCATACTACTCGAAATGTCATAATAAATCACAATAAATTAAACATGACAAAGGTTGAAACCTATAACCTTCAATTTACAACAATTTACGAAACAAACTTTTTACACAAATTTTGTCAGCGCAAGCAACAATTTTTCATTCCCTGGAAATTGGTTTTCTCAAAGAGCTGTCAATAAATTTACCAGACATCACCTGGTTTTTTAGTATTCATAAAAATAAGAAAAAAATCAAAGAATGTTTAAAATTAAATATAAATATGTAATCGTTTTATTTATAAATTTATTGTGACATTTTAAACATATTTTTTAATAAATTTATACCACTGAAGGTCAGCAGACGGCTAATATGCCATAGCTGTAAATCTTATATATATATTACAATTGTTATAAATTGTAAGCTTTATATATATATGTTTCAATTGTAATAAATTTCTGTGTAATACAACAAATTTAAAATGAAATAGAATAAAGCTAAAATATTACTACTACTGAAGGTCTGTTTCTACACTTTGACTCTTATATAGTGGATGTTTGTGAAGGATGTCAAATGCATTCTATTTATTAAAGTGTACATAAGTGAATCAATATTACTGCAAAGTAATTTCATTAAACCGCTATGAAATTACGATATAAACTTTAAAGTATATATAAAAATGTTTGGTACGAAATAGTCAATAAATACTAATAATAGGTAGTACAATTTTTTCGCCATCACTGTACAATTCATATAATTTTTTTTTGTCATTGTTTATATTGTGTGTTTGGACATTTTTAAATTTAATAAATATTGTAAATATTATATTATAATAAATAATTATTATAAATATTTTTATTCCAAAAAATTTAAATTTTTCTATACTTGTGCTGTTTAGTGAACGATGTTCGCAATAATCTCATAAAAAATAAAAAAACAACAAATTTACAATAATAATTGAAATTATGTCTCAATAAACACAGTGTCGTCTCGGACTTGAGTCAAGTTCAGTGGAACTTTCACGGTGACTGTAAAAAATAAAAATCGACAGCCTTGTTCCAAAAACTTCTGGAGTTAACGTTAAGTGGTGCTTGCTAAAACCACGGTTTCAGACAGAGGTTAACATATCTGTCGTAACTTTCTCAACAAATTTTAAAGTCAACCCCTAACTAAATGGTACGTTGTCGAGAGTACTGCTGCTATTGTGTATGGTTTTGATTTGTTACTTTTTAAAAAAATGGAAAATAATAAAGTAACTTCATTTACTGTGATACGTATTTCTGAGATTTTGACCAAGAACAGTACGTATCACCACCGAATTCGTCTGCTATGAGTTCCTACTTGATTTCCTGTTTGAATGACTGAAGAAATTACTTTGGATACGCGTTTCAGAAACCCAGAAGAGATAATAAAAAACAGAGATAATAAATTAAATCGTAATTTCCTGCAGAGTTTTTTTAATAATATATATCAAATAATATGGAAATATAATAAATCAAATAAAATAATAAAAAAATTCATTCAAAATTAAAAGAAGCTGTAATGAAAAAACAAAAAAATTCAAACAAAAATTTTTTTTATCTTGTAATTATATATTTTAAAACAGAAAATTTTCTAAGTGTATCAAAAACGATTTACAATAGGTTGCCGAAGTGACTCATCGCACATATCATTGGTACATCGTTAAAACGATTCGCTGGCACAATGGTTGTAGTTTATAATATAAAAAAAGGTACATTTATATGTTAAATTAACTAAACTTTTTTACAAAATTATCCAACATCCTTAATTTTAAAGAATTAAAAAAAAAATATTGATGCAATTTCCTAAATATATCTAAGTTTTTTTTTATTTTTAAAAAAAATGTTTAGAAATTGTGATATTTCCGTTATGAAGTTGTTTTAATTTTTTTTTTATTTAATTTGATTTTATTTTATTTCTATTTACTTTATTTTATTTATTTTTTATATAAACCTAGTGGACATTATCATGCGTCATACTTCGGTATAAAGAGCAAAAAATTTATTATTTTTTTAAGGATATTACAACCACATTTCTAAATTATAAAAATATGAAACGAAAATAATATATTTCGTTTCTGTTGAATATTTAATAAAATTTATTGTAGTATCTCATAAAAACAAAATAAGTACAATTTTAAGACCTAGCATTTTCAGTTTTACAGCTAATTAAACTATATTTGCTGCCCAAGTATTACACTAGTCTTCGTGGCTATTAAATAACTTTATTCTTTTCCTTGCAATTGATATAGATATGCTTATTAAAGATATGTATTAATTTTATTTTATAGCATCTAAAGATATTTATGAACACCTCAAACCAATTGAAAACTGATTAGGAAGAGATACTTGGCGTCAACAAATTGAGGCCAAAGAATAAGAGAGCCTATCTACAATGCCTGATAAGGTACCCAACTCTGGTGTATCTTTTATTCATTCAGCAAACAACTAATTCACTTTACTATATATAAAATCCTTTGTTAAGTCATATATGTGGTTAGAGCATATTTTTCTTGGTGTACGACTGTTAAATAAAATTGAGTGTATGTATTCATTATATGTTATATATAGGAAGAAATCCTAAAAAAACCGTGACCTTATTAGGTAGCTTTATTTACATCATTATTTTTGTCATTATTATATTTTGACCTACTTAATATCTATACACAATACTTCAAGTATCTTGGTACAGAAGACTTTAAAATTGCTTCCGGCTTACTTTTGATTTTTAATTTCTTTTAAATTAAATTACTTATGAATTGTATCATATAACCATCTAATAAATATCGGTTGAGATACTAAAAAATCTTTAACATATCATCCAATAGCACAATAAGAGCATAAAACTGAAAACATTTCTTACTCACCGGCAGTGCCTTTTGCAATGGCACTCTTTGAGGCCCTTGTCAATAAATTAAATATTTCTCCGAAGTGCAAGTGAATTGCGTGCCGTTGAAAATACAAGGCCAACCCTCAAAAGTATTGGAGCTATTATTGGCAAGCCAAGAATTGTTTGCTTCCAAAAATGTTGGAGACGTCCACTTTGCAAGCAAATTAGGTGCAGTTGTGTTTGAAGCATTTAATTGTTCCTCCAGGTCTGCTGTTAAATTACTTTCAATTCTAATGTTAAACATTTCGATTATATTACTTTGTTAATTAATTAAAATTTACACATTGCTTCAAGTAATTCGCGTATTCAGCTATCAATAATCATAAATACAAAAATATTTATATTTTGAAATATATATATCTTTTTAATGAAAGTAAATATATCTGTTAATATCTGCTGTTATTTATTAAATCTTTATAAGAAACATATGTTTTAATTCCTGTAATTCAATTAAGCCACTCAATGGTTCAGTTCCAACTGAATTCTGGGTTTCTGTGAAAATTTCAACTAAAGTCAAAATATTGAATTTTTTTCATTAAACTTGCGGAACTCAAAATTGACAAATTCTTAACATGTTAACACTTAACAGAGCAGCTTTTAAATAAGTTTACGCCTATCATACGCCTATCGCAGAAGTACTATAGTCTCTGCATCTTCAACAGCTGCACAGATCTTCTCAAGATCTATACGTGCCAAGCTTAGAGTATAAAATAAATGTTTTGTATATATAATATATGTTATGTATATTTCACACATATAGGAATAATTCTAATATGTGAAGATCTTATTAATTTATTTTATTTTATTTTATTTTATTTTATTTTATTTTATTTTATTTTATTTTGTTATATATTATCTGTCAAAGAAATTTTTCATTAAATAAAATTTAGAACTAAAGTAAAGAGCGGTTTTCAAATGATCTTACAGTGTGAGTTAGCATGTTGCGACAACTACTCACAGTTGTTGATAAGTGACACTCACGAATGCAAAATGTTCTTTGCGTAGATAAACATTTTTTTTAGAAACATTTTTTTACGATATTCGTGGGTTTCGCTGTTTGCTCAGCATTACACTGTATTTGGAGTAAATATTTATTTGTTATTATTACAAAGGTGTTAAGATAAGGTCAGGTATAGAGTAATTTTTAAGTGCATAATTTGAAATCCACTGATAGTGAATACTATATATCATGTGACTTGAAAATGTTTATAAAATGTTAAAAAAATAGAGAATAGTTCGTGAAGGACAAACAAACTATGTTTTAGTATATTGTCTTCTTCTTTTGCATATTACCTGCTCTAAAATATTGATAAACTCTACTCCTTATTTCCCTGATTGTATTTCAATCATTAAAGTTGCCTTCACTTCATTTAGGCGCCTCTATTACGACTATTAGATCAGTTTTTGAAAACTTGTCTTCACTTGAATTGATTTCTAAATTGATTTTTTCTAAAACGATAGTTTCAAATCAATAATATAATCTATTTCTAGAATTTGAACCTGAAGCGAATTGTCGTATTGATAGGAAAAATTCCAAATTTTAGAACATTAGAAAGTATTTGTTTTAGTACTGTTCTTTCTTTATTTGGTTAGTAAAATGTACTTTTATAAATCATACAATTAGTATTTGTCACATTTTAACATAATTTTTAATCAATTATTATACATTTTTTGTTTGATTATACCATAGAAAAACGCAAGCAATTGCTATTATACCTATACATTCAATTTTAATAAGTATATATCCGGCTGCTTCCTTCTTTCTATTTTCGCCAGGCTCTTTTTCAATATATATATACATGTATATGTGTATATAAATATGTATATATAACACTTTTATATTATTAATAATTCCAAAGAAGATATATGAATTTCAATTACTAATAAATATCATTGTTATAGAAAATAAGATTAAAAAATGCCATTCTATTTTCCAAATAAAATAAAATGTTATTTATTTTTAGAAGCATACTTTTAGGGGCAAATATGCCGTTATGTGATCTTTCACATAAAATTGTGATTTATTTATTTAGGCTCCACAAGGCTTCAATGATACTAATAGGACCAGCAAGTAAAACTATTTAATGAAATTTAATTCGAAAATAGCTTATTATATTAACATGACAAAAAAAATCTGATTCAGCTGTAATTAAAGATTTTTGGTATAAGAATTATTTAAAAAATGGAAAATAAATTTATTTTTTTAAAATCACATATTGCACAGTGCAGATTCGATTTATTAATAAATATTTTTAAATAAATTTTTGTGTATCGTCTAATTATTAACTTAATGTTTGAGTACTTATGGCCAATGAATTTGATTTTTGAAATATTACATTCTTTGCGGTTTATTTATCGTCCTCCATTAATAAATATAATAAAAATTATATACACTACTTTATGATAGAATTTTTTAGATTAAAAAACCAAATGGTGTATTTAATGAACTTAAATAAATTTTATTCACTGAGCGCCTAAAAACTACTAATCATAATTTACTCCTAAACACACCACCGGAACATTTTAAAAGGCTGTCTAACGTCAAATGAGCGAAATTAAGGTCATGAAATCATGGGTTATCAGCTTCACATAGAACTCAATAATATGTAGCAGGAAAATATTGTATCTTATATATTTATATATCTAAGAATATGTTTTTATATATCGTAAAACTATTCAGTATTTATTTGTTATCAATTATTTAGTAGTATAAAGAATAAATAAAATAATATGTCATTCATTGTCATATAATGACAAAAATATGTAAGTTTTTTAATAGCAAAAAATTTTTTTTCTAAACAAATAATAATTTAATCAAAATAATAAAAATGAATATCAGTTTATAAAGACTAGCTTAGTTTAGCAAAAAAGAATTTACCCTTGGTTTTTTTTTTAAATTTGATACGTCGCTGCTTAAAAAAGAGGAAACATTTTATAAAATCAGCGGTTCTTGAACTTGACGCCTACTATGAAGTCTTCACACTTTAATGCCTCATTGATGTATTTTAGTTATAAACTTTTGAATGAATTATTAAAATTTAAGCTAATTATATTGTATACAATATAATCATATAATTTATTTCTGATCAGAAAAATTCAAAAAAAAAAAAGTTAAATAATTAAGTAAGTCACAATGCCAGATTTGATAACATATATAGAACAAGGAGATAAAATTAAAAAAAAAAAAACTAAATCTCAGCTCACAGTATAGTTCACTTATATTTAATATAATTCACTTATAACATTCCATAGAGAAACTTGTAATTTCGATTAATATTGAGTCTACAAGTATTATAAGTTCAAGTACACGTAGTCAGCACACGACACGATATATACACAAGCGGGTATGTATTTATATTTGGATATTTCTATTGATATGTGAGCTATTTGTATAGTTCCAAGTTCATACCATCACGAAAAAGAAGAATTTTCTCCTATGTTTACTTGGTAGAGGTTACTTCATGTTATAATTTGCTCGTGCTGGCTTATCATCTATAAGTTAAGAAGTTTTTGATTTCGCTGGCATTTTTCATTATTTTTGTATAAAAAAAGAAATACAAAATATGTATATTAGAATATTAAATTTGTGCTTAGGTTAATTCTACTTTATACACACTCACTTCGACATGATTTTTAGTATTCTAATATAACCTTATGTACATTCTACAATTACTTCTAATAAATTAATAAGTTTTATGCAAAATTTTATCTGTACAATAAGAAAAAATTTTTTTTCAATAGATTTAGCAATGGCATTTTAATTACCCATCATTTTAGTAATAGTATGTTTCTTATGTCTGTCTGTCAACTTCTTATAAATGTATTTTCTTACATCAAATGGTACTAGAAACCTGGCACTTGCAGTCCAAACAAATTATAATTATATACATACTATACATTAATCAAAAAATTCGAGTATTTCCTAAGATCACTGATAATGAACAGTATATGGTCAGCCAAATTTCAATAAATAAACTAAAAATCTTTGTTGTTGTCTTTTCGTTTCTATTCGAACCCTTCTAAATTTTAAATAATTTCTTATCGTCACAAGACGTATTTATTTTCGACAAAAAAATTAGAATTAAAAAAGTACTAGAAGAAGTTTTGTAAATTACTTTTATTAAATAAAAAAAAAGTGATTTTTTTACAAAAGCTTGTCAACGGATGTTGCACTTCACAACAATCACGTCAAAAGGTTAAAAAATGTTCTGATAACAAACCTTTTTTGATCAAAATAAGTTCATCTGTTACTTTTGTGTGTGACATCGCATTACGAACATCAAACGAAATCTGATATCATGTTTATCTTCTCGGTAATACCAGGTTATTTAAAATACACCTGTTTGTTGATGCATTAAACATTGGATTTTAGTATGCAACAAGACTAACTAGAAAGTGATACTAATTCTAGGTACTTACTTTGTCCGATGGAAGCCCCCTCACTTAGTAGTCTTGAGTGACATATACGAATCATCTTTACAATTATTTCTGTTCTGATATTCCATCAGACTAACGTTGATGCATAAGAAGACAATTGAGTAGAGATAGTTCCAGCAAAGAATGTATGTATATGTTCCATCATGTAATTTTTACATTTATTTAATTTATAACATTCAAAATCTGTCCTACATAATTTGTACTAAAAATGATTCACATCGAAAAACTGACAGTACTGGCTAGTTTATATACACTGGTATGTATCAATGGACCCTGTTCTATAGACCCTGTTCTATAGACCCTGTTCTCAACTAACGAAGTTTTGCGAATTAAGTTTCAAATAAATAAAATATGTAACTGACATATGTGTATAATGCACACGGTTGTATGTTTATTGTTATTATTAATACAATTACAGATTCATATTAAAAACTATGTAAGAAATTAAATAAAAAAGAATAACTTAATATAACTTTATATAAAACGCGACTTGTCTTATGAGATACTAGTATAAACTATATTTACATATATGGACTTTTGTTTATCCGGTGTTTATTTTTAGGGAAGAAAATAAAGTTATTTTTATGTTTTAAGACTATACACATATACTATACAATTATTATTAAAACATACAATATACACTCTTAATATAATAGTTGTAACCGATTCGTATATTAGCAGATATAAATACATTATAATTTTATATAGACTTTGTCCTGCAAAAAAATATTTTGTATCAAATAACAAGTTAATGACTAATGTATTTATAAGACTAAAACTACATTTATGCATAATGTATTGTTAATGTTACTTAGAGCTAACACAGAGAGTTATAGTAAAATTTAAGTTTGTGTCTTAAAATCTAAATACAAGTTTCATTGTTTCTATTCATTAATGATTCGTGCGCTTCATTTTCGGTATATACTTGTGGACGTCCATTTGAGTTGTCATCTACAACTACTACAACATTGGTACCATTGGTATTAGTGTTTTCTGGCAGATCCTAAAAATATTTAAAAACATATGTTACTATTATTATCAACAACTTTTATATATATAATATATAAAATTTTAAAAGGAACATAGAAATTGTATCTTAACTTCCATACTGGTATGGGAGTTCATTAACAAGCTGAACATACTCAGGTGAACAATTAGGTGCACTTAAGGGTATTTCATTGATCACATGGATTCAAGACTAGGAAAGATAAGCTCTATACTGTATTTCATTTAAGAAATCTGACTTGGAGAAACGCTTTTACTTGACTAAGGGGCACAATAGATATTTTAGGTCGCAGTGCACTATCCCTATTCTCAATAATAATTTTTGGATCTTGATTTAATTTTTAAAAATAATTTTAAAATAATTTTGTGAAGCTAACAGCCAAAAATTGAAAAAGAAATTGAATCACGTAGTTATTACTTAAGGAAAATCAAATCATTATTGCTAAGTTTCTGTAAATATTAATTTATACTGAAATATAAAGCGTTCATTGGTCATTTTAGAAAAAGAACTCCAAAAATAAAACTATAAACATTTCCTTTTACCATTCGAAATAATTTTTTTAAAACAAATCCTTTGAAATTGACAACAAATAAATTGAAATATATATTAAATCAGTTACTTTCTCTTCCTCAAAGTAAAATATTCTTAAATAAAATTAAACAAACTTAATTTAAATATTTAATTTAAATGCAAACCGGAGAAGGAGAATGTGTTTCATCAATTCTCGTAGCTGTGTTCAATAAAAAATGCAAAAATAAGCCAGAGAAATTCTGCTCCCAGCGAAAATTGTGTACTTTGACTCTGATAAATCCTTCCATTAAATGCCAAAGACAATGAGCATTTCAATTGAACAAAATCTTTAAGAAAGTAAGGAATAAAGTTGAATAGGGAAATTAAAAGTCTCTGTTCTGAAGAAGAACGGAAGAATTTTTTAAAGCATTGAAAATATGCTGAAAACTTTGCCATCGTCGTATTTATGCTAGATTTATTTCCATTCTGTAATTCGACACGATGTGGTTATAGCTTGAAAGATTAAAAATCAGTGCAAACTAAGTCACAAAAGAAATGTCAGGAATGCATTGTACAGCAAATTCGAATCTTAATTTTCTTCTCATATAATTATGCACAACACTTGGCTGTGTCGCCTTTTGTTTCTATCGACAAAAGATTGAATTGATAATTTACATGAGGGAAATTCTTGAAGGCAAGAAAGGATGTTAACATATGGTTGAGTTATGTATTCACGTAATGAAATTTATTGGTATTACTAAGCTATTTAATTTTTATAATAACATATAATAATGGCAACATCAGCAATAACAATGTATTAATATAAAGAAAGTGGAGTTCTTATATAACAAAATTAAAATGACATAAGTTAATAGTACCAAATAGTAAGTAAAAACCTTAAAACCCTAAGTACATATATTCTATGATAATCTACAAATATATAACAGTGGTGGCATAAACAAATATGTTAGGTTTACTAGCTGTTGGATCCATGTACCGGAATATAGCATAGGTTTCAACATAAGTGGAAACAGCCAAGGAGTCCGCGTTGGGTCTAACTCGCCTTAAGTTTTTCCTTAAAACTTTATCTATCCATACTTTTTAATCTAACTGTAGGCTTCACGTTTAATAGCCATTGCAAGTGTGAGACCAAAATCGAAAGAATGAAATTCAGAGTAAAACATGTGCACCTTAGCGAGCTTGTCTGACCCGCAGTTAGGTCAGCTTAAGTTAAACAGACGCCTTGCAGTCGCTCTATATATATATGTCTCTAGGTACCCATTTAAGTTTGATACTGACAAACACGTAAAATTCGTAAAATGAAGTCTGTTTTTGCAACTCTTACTGATATAGATGTTGTGCTTAACAGAGATTTGATAATAGCTTACCAGCTTGTCCAAAAAGATTTGAGTTTTTGTATTGGGAATCTAGTTGCTCTGACTTTAGTTTTTTATGTTCATTTTACTGCGTACTAGATTGCCTAATAATTTCACTGCAATAGTTCGGTAGTCATAGCAAGGTACTAAGGTTCAGTTCAGACAAGTTTGCATCAAAAACCTTAAATTTTTTTGCAAGATTTCAACATTATTGGAGGTGTGCAATAAAAGACTTCACGTCATCTTTGATGTTTCATAGATCCATGTATAAAAAAGATTCGATTATAAATGAGTTATAGTACGTACAATTTTGAAATTCTTGTTATTTTTTGATTAGATGAGTTCTTCATAAAAACAAACTAACGGGCATGACTAGTCTGATTTGTGAGCTTATGCTATTTAAGTATACATATCGTATAGATATTTCACACTTCCCAGCGTTTTCTTCACAATAGTATCATGGATAGAAAAAGTCCTTCAGTGAAATCGAGAGTAATTTAATGAGTTATCGATCAATATTGTGTTTCCATAATTTGCTGATTCTAAGAAGAATATACTTACTTGCTGCAGTGGAAGCTTAAATTCGGGTTTCTTTATCCAGAGATCGTTGTTTGAGTTAATAGAATTTCTATCTTTGATATTGTTTGATATACGTACTGACCGTACACGTACCTTAAAAGAGAAAAATTAAAATTATATCAATTGTTAATATAGTTAAACGCCTTTTTTATAAAAGAGTATGGTATATTCAAGATTCACTCGTAAATCTGACTTTTCGTAAATATAGTTATTATTAGTAATTTAGGTAACGATATCTCTAAGGTAACTACAACTTTTTTAAGAATTTTGAGAAGAAGAAAAAATGATTTCTTGTAAATATTATTAAAGGTAAAGGGCTGCAGAATTTTTACAGTATTAAAGGCATTAACAGAGTGTTCTTATAATCTAATCATCTCTACGAAGAAAACTGAGCAAAATGAGTGTCTTAATATTTTTTTGAAAAAAAAGTCGTTTAAATGTGATAATTGGTCACCTAGTTATTTGTTTACAGTACACAGTAACAATAATAATTAAAAAAGTTTCATTACATCATTTTTCAAAACCTAAAGTATATTGATATAAAAATATTTATATATTAACAATATATTTATTAATATTAAAAGACTTAAAGTAAAGTTTTTTTTGTTAAATAAATAATAAATATTATTGTAGTGCAAAATAAGAGTCTTAATATTTAATCATGATATTTAAAAATAATTAAATGCCATTTAACTAATCATAAAAATGAATAAATATATGTCTTTTTAAATATCTCTATAATCAATCATACATATCAACTCTTTGATCTTAAGTTATAGTACTTTAAAACAATATCATTACATCTGCGCTCTTCTGAACTCTTCACCGAACCAACAAACACTCCGAGTAAATAACCAACAAAAGGGTAAATATCTGTTATAATTAACGGTGTAAGACTTCATAACAAGAGTAATTATGTTCCACAAATAGCTTTCATCTACAATGAAAACTACAGCCACGCAACATACTTTTGTAAACAAAAACAATTATGAAACGCCTATAATTATGCTTGCAATTATTGAATAATTAAACGAAAAACTTCATTTTTAAAGAAACCCACTCGGTTTCATTTAAAATGGATTTAATCACTTCTTAAATTTAAGCTGATAAACATGCGATGATGATGGTTAATTATGTAGTATATAACTTCATTTTATTATTGATTAATTAAATAAATTATTTATTAATTGCATTACATTTAACCGTAGTTGATTAAAGAAAGGTTTTTGTGCGATTTTGTGCTAAGAACAATGACGAAAGTTAATTTTGTGAACTTTGTGGTTAATTGAAAATTGATGACTGTTTGAAAAGTTTTACAAAACAAAAACCAAATTTAACCAAAATAATTAAAATTGCCTTTAAAATTTATTATTATACATAATATTTATTTTTAGTATCCTTTCAATTTTTATATACAGCACAGACATTTTCATTGACTTTAACATTTCGTTGCATTAAGATTTTAACATATCAATTGTGGTTAATTGCATCTGGCATGAAATCTAATTAAAATTCCAATAAACCAAATGATTGAAAATATCCATTGGTAATTAAGTTATCGGCCAGCCAGCAAGCCAATCAAATTTACGATTTACTTCATAACATGCTTAGATGTTTCTGCGAAGCAATGAAGTTAATGCATGTGTCAATTGACATTAGTAAACAAATATGAAATTCATATTCTATTTACTTATTAATGGAGACTCTAGTAGTATGTAAGGTTATGGCTCGCCTAGAAGTATGCAAAGATAATGTAAACAATTTGCTCTATTGACAAGGCAAGCAATGGTTAAGTTTACACATTTTGTTTACAATCGTTGAAATTTTATTACAATTTCGTTATTATTAAATTTATAAAGAAAACTAAATTTAATTTAGTTACAGGTTAAATAAGCGTAGACTGTTGATATGCTAATTTTGGAATGTTATGCATAATATTATTTTATCAAATAATGCGTAACTAAATAAATTACATTTAATCGGAAGACTTGCTACAAATTTGTTTTTAATCTTGATATTAATATTATTAGAATTAGTAAGGAAAAATATTTCTAAAGTTATTTCTGAAATAATACATTTTATAATTGTAAATATATATATATATTTTGTATTATAAATTTACTAATAAGTATATAAAATTAATATAGCGTTAATGCGCTATATTAATTAATTAATATATAAATATTAATTATATGCTTTGTTTTTAACCAATTTCTAATTTGTGTTTTATATAATAATATAAATATTAATAATATAATATAAACTAGTGGCATGATTTTAATGAGACCGAATTTCTATCAGCATATATAGCGTACTTTGGTTTTTGCAGCTACGTTTGTAATATAAACTATTTACATTAAAATTTCTATTCCCATTAATCAATAACAATAAAAATTAATAACAAGAACAATTGCTATAAACAACCACCAACATTACAAAATCATAAACAATAACAAAAATAGAATAATAAAAATAATAACAGAATTTAGTACTACAAAATGGTAAATAAATTCGCGTATAATTACACTAAAAAAACAATAGCGCATATTGCATTTCTCAGGTACAGAAGACGCAATAAAAATGCAATCTGGACAGTCAGCAGCGTCTGATATCCAGATTATTCCAATAAGTCTCTAAACGAGAGTCAGTTAAACAGTGAGCTTGTGATCACATCGCATCACTAGCGCTGCTTAGTGCACGGTATTCCCAGCTTTCCCATACTCGTCTCAGCTTTCCATCCATCCAGACAAATAAATTTATTGTAGGAATGGACCTGGAATCCGGCGAGCTAAACCTCGATGGAAAAGATTCGTCACACCTTTATTTTTCAAGGCGTATTTTTAATATACGAGTATTAAAATTATATATACCAAAACAGTTCCTTGTGAAATACTTTTCGAACGCGATTTGAAATTAGACACTCTCTCAACGAATGAAAGTAATTAACCCTAATGAAACTTTCGATATTGCTCATTATACTTGTTTAATTAAATTGTGTAGAAGTTTGGTTTTGGAAAAATGTTTAAACTTTTTTTTGGAAGAATTATCCCACAAAAAATATTTTGTTTTATTTACATTTATGGTAATTGGAAATAACATTTTTAATACAATGACCAGTTGTATTTGAAGATAAAACAACTGCGCTGGCTAAGACATTCCACAAGAGTAACAGTCCAACTAAAAATACATTGAAAACAATAAAATCAATAGAAAAACGCCAACGAGGAAGTCCTTCTATAAGATAATATGATCAAGTATTGAAAATCTGTTAGTTCTTGATATTTCTAACCGTTGTCAGCATACAAAAAATAGAGTCGTTTTCAGACGGAATTCTTCATAAACTCTCGAAGTCAATATACCATAAATCAATCCATTTTACTTTGGCGGCTAAAACTTATGTCTGATGCTATTAATCGCAGCACTAAATATAAATTTCATTGCTGCGTATCTAAGAAAGTGTGTGCTGGTGTGGATTATACATACAGAATGCTTTCCTATTTGAAAATTAATTCTATTTCGATAATCTTATTATTAAAATCAATACTTTAAGCAAAATGTATTTCATTTGATAGCTTTAAATTATAGCTTTAAATTTCTGAAATGTCGCGTTGTTACACTGAGTTGTTATTAATAACTCAAACTTGTACTCTTTAATGTACAAACAAACTTAAAAGGAATGATACGATCTTTCAATGAAAAGCAAAAATTAAATGTAAATATATTTTAAATTAGTTTTCAAATAATTTCTCTAAAAAGAATTATTCTTACCGAATGCACTCGATCGTAATTGCAATTGCCGCCCACACTAGTCGCTATTGTAGTTTCGCGAAAGCTGGATTGATCCCTTACGAATCCATTGTTGTAATAAACACTCTTGCGCTTTCCACAAAGTATATCCTTGAATGCCACTCGATATCGATGAGACATGACATTGTACAAAATCGGATTAATGGTGCTGAAAATATTTGAAATTAATTTAAATCAAATAAAACATCAATTATTGACTAAATCAACATATGTGGAGTGCCTTTATCTGTAACACAAGCTACATATAACTAAATTAGCTTTCAATTATTGACTACATTTTAACCTTGGGCAATAGGAATATCTTTGATGGTGCACATTAAATACAAATTTTATTGATTTTGAATAACTTTTGCAATATAATTGAGTTTCGGCTAAGATACTCCGAGCTACGATAGAAGTAAATTTGTACAAATAAATTTAATAAAAAGTTTTCTATATAACAAAAAGTAATGCACCAACATATTAACTTGCAAAAAGTTTCGACATGTAAACTTACCAAGAAATATAGTAGGCAAATCCGCCCACCGCAAATATCCATTCATTAACATCGTTATAGTTCTCATAGTTTTTGGCGTAAAGGAACCATAGACGCTGCAAATGAAATGGCAGCCAACAAACGAAAAAAGTTACAACAACGGCGGCTGAAAGCATAAAATATTTAAATTATTACAAACGAACAATACAATTTAGTAATTATTTAAATAAGAACAGAAAATTATACTACTTAATATTTCACGGAAAAAATACTAATTGTGGTATTAGATTTTATCTTCAAGGCAAAATGTGCCCAAACGATATAAGTAAAGGCTAAAGGATAAGGGCAAAGGATAAAGGATACTCCTTTGCCAATTAATGTTGCTCTATTTAGAAAATATGACTTCATACTCTGATCTCTGCTGTTTAATCAAAATTTAGATGATGTTTTCTTTAATCATGTTTATGCAGTAGCTATTGTATACACTTTACTGGCATTTAAACGGTAACTTTGAATGAAAATATAATTAATTTAACTTAAAAACTTTTTCCACTTAGAAAATTTCAAAGCAATTAATTTTTTGCATGAAACTGACCTACTCACAAAAGCACCACTTAAGGCGAAATTGTCCGTTGACGTAAAAATTAACTCCTGATTTTTAGTATCTTTCTTTTTTATATATACTCAATTTATTTTCCTTTAGTTATTTTTTTGGGGTTCCTTTTGTTATTGTGTGTCGTGAATACGAGATTTAGCTCAAGGATATACAAAATATTCAAATTGCTAACATAAAACGCCGGAAGTGTTCAATTTACAGCAAAGGATTAATTTTCAACAATATGGGATACTAGACAACATAGTTTGGAGCTTTTCAATGAGTTGTAAGTTAAAATCTTGTAAGCGCCTTAGAGCCACTTTTATCTTTAAATATCATAGGTTGAAGTAAATAGGATTTCCTTCCAAATGATTACATTTTTGTTTACTTTATTTTTCACATGTCACAGTTAAGTGAGAAAAAAAATAAATTATTTATATTTCTATTTCATAACAAGTGTTTTATATATCAAATTATTTTTGTTTTAATATTTAATAATATTTGAATTTACGTCACACGGTTCACAGCTGATTCCCTAACCATGCTGAAGGATTGAATCTCACTTTTAATCGTTACCGTCGCAATTGTGGATAGGACGATAAAAGTGCCCCGAATACTATCATTATTCTCTGGACTTTAAATTTACAATTTACTAACGATTCACAGCCGGTAACGATGGTTCACTTAACAGCTAGAAGATTGAATCTCCTTTTTAATCATTACTATCGAAAATGTAAAGAGGGCGATAAATGATTTCAAATGCTATCATTATTTTCTTCAAATTTACAATTTACTAACGATTTACAGCCGATTAGCGAACCATGCTAACAGATTGAATCTTCCTTTTAATCATTACTATCGATTTTGTGGAGAGGGTGATGAAAGCGCTTCCTATCTGCTTTGTTTTTGCCAAGTACACGCGACACACCTTTGTTAATCTAGGAGCTTCCTTTTCTGAGGATCTTGGCCTCCTCCAAGACCTAAAACGAAACAACAATTTAAGTTTCGTCAAAGTTTAAGGTGATTTTTAAAGCTCTGACATGGTAACACAACGGGCCAATAGGCGAAAGTGAATCCTTTGACTCACCAACATAGCCATACCTACCTAACCTAATTTCATAAGCGTTAAAGGAGGATAGCGTTAAATATATCGGCATCACGTTGGACAAACGATTCACATGGCTTAAACATGTTCAACTGAAAAGAATTAGCTGCGCCAAAATTCTACATTACGTCCAACCGCTATTTAGAAATGAAAACCTCAATGCTAAGAACAGGAAACTGATATATAACCAAATAATTTGTCCGTCACTTCTATATGGTTGTGTAGCGTTTAGCAAAGCTAAAACACAAACACTACTATTCACCAGTTAGAAATTGCTCAAAGCCAGGCTCTGAGAAGACTTTTCAAAGTTCCTTGGTACATTAGGACGAATGACATCCTCAGGGACCTCAAGATTGATCCCATCAAAAAATACATAAAGAATAGAGCCCTGAAATTATTTGCGAAATCTGACAGACTTACTAATCAAATCTCGTTATCAAATCTCAGAATGGTTACAGGCTCCTCGGGGAGATATGCAGATCTGAGGTCAATTATTGCTTAGTCTAATGAAGTGATGAACAATAATCCAGTCAAGGCGCAAAGAGGGGTTTTGTAGAAACCTCGCAGTTAATAGAGAGTAAAAGTGCTCAGGTGCACTGACTCAACTCAACTAGCCTCAACAAAAAAAATTAATAAGTAACTACATAAATCTTGCTATTGGCAAGTTGGGAATACGGTATAAAGGTATAGGATGCTCATGAATAATTTTCCACTTAAAACAGGTTAAAAGTAAAAATATTCCACTGAAATAATCCATAAAATATTGCGTAAATATCTATTATTCTAAAGGATGGTTTTTTTAACTGCTTGAGAACTATCAATATCGATAACAATAGGGTTTGACAGCTGATAATTTTAAATTGTGTTGATATTTCTGTTCAGTAAGGTTGGCCAAATCATCATGAATCATTTACCGCTATAGCAATGCTTCCAACTTTACTTTGAAGAATAATAATCTTTTCGCGAAGTTCATAGAGTATTTCGTCCATTTTACGATCAACATAATTTGACTAGTGAGCAAGAAATTTGTACAGTTATTGATCCTTTTCGAACTAATTTTACTCCTCTCAATTGAAAGCCAATACAAATGGATTATTTGGTGCGGTTTACACTCTACCATTTCTTTCATGACATGATTTCAAGTCAGAAAATAATTATTTACTTATAAATAATAATAAATATAACGTAGTATATCTCATAATTTTTAAAGCAAATCATTTTCTACCACGAATTGCATATGATAAAACTTTTTTTAAAAATTTTTGTACCAGAATAGCTAAAATCTTACGTGCGGTCTTCCGGTCGATCTTACAAAGGTCTTACGAAAGACCTTTAGTCTAATTATTTCATTCGAATATAACATAGTTAATAAAACTTTCACAGTAAATTACAAAACGCCAAGTCAAGTATGGTATTGGGTTTGTTGGATCATAACACTGACTCTGAGCTTTAAATTTGGCAGGGCACGAGTTCAATCTCAGGTACTTGTACTCTAACAAAATTATTTACGAATAATTAAATATAAGAAATAATTGCAAGACCATTGAAGATTGGTATTTGGCAATACCCGAAGTAATTGTATGGTCAAACAAAAATTCATATAATCAAAAATAAATAAAAATTTTATTGCTACCATTCATTACTGTTCAAAACCTCTGCATTAAATACAATCGTTTCTATTAAGTAAAATAGTCATTACCATCTTAGCTGGCAACAAAATCAAATTTAATATTAGTTATATATATTTTTTGTATAAATTTTTTAGTTTGTCTCACTTCTTATGTGCACTTTCAGAAAAATTGGATAAATTCAATTAACGTCAAAACTTCGAAGTGGTACCAGTAATAGTTGATAATACCAGAACATATGAAATGCCTGCATTCTGTAATAAAATTTATCCTCTCATGAATATGAAGGCTATATAAGAATATTTCTTAGGCTGTCAAAATGTGCGAATCTCAAAGCAATTTATTATCATTAAAAATTAAATTATATTTTCTTCAAAAAATTTCTTAGATCATATTTTTATATACAATAACATTTAGTACATACACATTAGGTACATATCATGCAGTGATAAAGAAAAAAACTAAAGTACATAAATAAAGTTTTCAAGAGATACCCAAATTCTGTGTGTCTCAATCTCAGTTTTGACCATCTACTAAAAATGTGTGTTCATAAATTTAACTTTAATATCAAAAATTTTTTCACAAGTTTTTAGTAGTGCAAATTTATGTAGATTTTTATAAATAAAACATCGAAATCAAATTACTTTTTACGTAGCACATATTTTTACGGCCCATGTTTACGTTAAAATATTACTTCAGATGCGAGTACCCATGAATTAGAAAAGTTGGTAGTACTGCCTTCGCCAATTTTTTTTAGCTTTTTTATTTTTCAAATTGAATTCCTGCAAATTTCATTTTTATACTTAAATCTTTAATGTGTTTTTTGTACAGAGTTTTTGTGAAAAAATAATTTAATTGTTTATTAAATTAAGGTTTAAAATTTATTTACAATATTTAAGAAAAATATTATTATTCGTTATTGTATTAGTCTTTATAAACTTATAAAGATATTTCTTATAATTAATTATTCATAAATAAAAACTCCAAGACCATTGATGATGCCAAAAGGTCAACCAAAAATACAATTAATTAAAATTAATAAAAAAATTTTGTTATTGCAATTCACTACAGATCGAAGCATTCCTATTAAATTTATTAGTTCTACTAAGTAAGATAGTCACTACCGGCATAAGTGACGTTAAAATCAAATTTAATGTTAATTATTTATTTAATTAAGTTATTAATTAAAAATACAAATAATTAAAGAACTTTAAATTTAGCAAATATATGATTGGAAAGAGTACTAAACTCTTTTATGATTTTATTGGACATAAAGCCAATCTAGTTACCGCGTCACTTAAAATAAAAATATTCTCGAATACGCAAATAAAGTTGACGATGGAACTCACAAAAATTGGCTACAAAAAAATTATTTTAATTTCCATTAATTTCTATGCATTTTTGAAGCCGGTTAAACCACTTTCTAAAGCAGTCTTTAAAATCAATTAGGTATACAACATTGAGATTAACTGTACTAATTGTCTAATCATCACGGCTGAAGATCCTTTCTCTCCAATATTTTTACTTTTGGAAACAACTAGTAATCTCAAGACATTGGGTTTGGAAAATATATAGCTGGATAAATTTCATTGATCTCTGAGAGCATAATGAAGTTTTTTGGTTTCGGTTTTTCGGTAAGCTGGTACGTTCTACTGCTACAGAGAGTATTGACACAGCTTTCATTTTCTTTACTGGTTTCTAACAAATTTTTGGAAACCTGTGGTATGCAAGTCTTAGTGTACCATTCATTAGCTACCATCTGTTCAGTATTCAGAGAAAGAAAACCTACAATTTATTCCTTGCTAAAGTACATTAACCTCATCACATTTGTTCGAGAT